GCTAATATGGCGTATGACCACCATTTGCAGCAATCACAGCCTGTAGTCTTCGATTCATGGATGCAATTAACTTGGGAATGTCATATTCTTGGGGTATTTTCGACCATTCTTCTTTAATAAATTTTTTTAAGTCCGCACTGTTGGACTTCTTTGCCCCACTTTTCGTTTGAGAAGCGTCCATAAGTTTTCTATCGGGTTCAAATCCGGACCTTGGGGAGGGGTATCGATCACTTTGGGACAGTTGTACAGTAACCAGCTCCTCACCAAATACGACTTATGCTTCGTTTCGTTATCTTGATAAAACTTATAACGGCCCTGAAGCTCAAAGCTGTTAACGCTGTCAATCAAATGGACCTTCAATATGTCTAAATATGATTCAGCGGTCATTGTGTTGTCAATAAAATGTAGTGACCCAACGCCCTGACTTGAAATACATGCCCAAACCATAACGGACAATTTGCCAAATTTTACAGTAGGCGTAATATTTTTGTTTGAAAGAGCTTGTAAAGGCTTTCTCCAAACTCTATTTGGTCCATTATTGCAATATAGCATAATTTTGACTTCGTCACAAAATATTACGTAATTCCAATATTCCTGTGGCCCAGATACATTTTCCTGAGCGAATTTTAGTCGTTTTTCAATATTGCTCTTAGAAAGAAGTGGTTTTTTTCTTGCAATTCTTGAAGAAAAACCATTTTCTTTCAGGGTTTTTCTTATTGTTTCATGGCTGACAGTAAATCCGTATTTATTTTGCATCCCCGAAGCCAAAAATCTAATCGAGTTTCTTGGGTTATTCTCTATTTCTTTCACTAATTGTCTTTCTATTCTAGGGGTTATTTTTCTTTTTCTGCCTGTCGACTTACTTTGCTCCAGCCTTCCTTCTTTTTCAGCACGATTTATTATATTGTAAATCGTTCTTATATTTATTTGGGACATTTCTGACGATTCGCTTGCAGTTGTGCCCTGGTAATAATTATAATAAACTAATTGAACGACGTTTTCGTTAATCCATTTACCCGGCATTTTGATAAAAATATTAATGTTTTACTTTTCAGCTTCCAACTTTTTCTAATTGAAAATTTCAGTCCAACAAGCTGCACTTGATATTGATAAAACATTAAGTAACAGAAATTTAAGTGTTTGGGACATTAAGACGCCTATTTGTTTTATTTTTTCTCACGAAAAAGTATTAAACGAATTTGTGAAAAGCATTGTTTGACAATTTAATTTTAGACTTGTTTTTTTTTTTATTGTTATTTTTTTGGTTTAAAGCACTGAATTAAAAAAAAAAATTATGTTATGAATTTAAAATTATTTAATAAAAATATATTAATTGAAAAAAAATTAAAAATTCGCATTTAAAGACTTTAAATTACAAATATTTCATGAAAAGTAACAATTTTTTTCAGTGTGAAAAGCATTTCTTGACAAAGTATATATGTCCATACCGCAGATGACTCCTTCAAGTAGTTACAAACTCCATACCAAAGTTAATATACCCTTCACGAAGTGCAGGGTATAAAAAAGTGTTTTATTTTATAACACCAGTATTGCGGATCATTTAATTGCTAACACCGTGGTAACAGAAACAAGCTTGATGAAATATTAATTTCAGTTACAAATGCAATGGATAAACTTGTTTAAACGATCCCAAATCCAATTAAGTTTGCAATCACATTAGAAAAAAATCGGACGAGCAATTATTTATTAAAGTAAATAAACAGTTAATTAAAGAAAACAAGGTAATTTTTTAGTAGATATATCTTAAACATATAAACAAATATGTATATTAAACAAGTAAAAACGTTTCAGTCGGTATAAACTGATTGAATTATATCCTGCACCTTTCGTTGTTGTATAGCAATTACTCAAACCTGTGAAACCATTCTATAGAAACTTCACGGATATGTCTGATCTATAATTGAACACACAACTGTCAAGTTTCATGAATCTGACTTTTTTATTTTTCCAAATACTTAAAATAACCTTTTGGACTTGTGTGGAAACTAGTCGAACCTGTCAAGTAATTTAACCAAAACTTCAGAAATATACATGACCTATAACTGGACACACAACTGCCAAGTTTCATGAATCTGAATCTTCACAAAGTGCAGGGTATAAAAAGTATGTTATATAGATATGTAAATGTTTAAGTATATAATTACATATTATATGTATATATTTAAAATTCATACAAAAAAGCGTGAATATTTTATTCTTCTACTTTTCAGTCTTTTAGATGGAAAATTTGTACTTTTCAGTTTTTTTAGAAAAATTTATTGAAAATTACAAAAAAAATTACATGAAAATATTCAGGTAGGTACAAAAACCAAATAGTAAACTTATTTTTGACTTGCTTCAAGAGTTGGTTTTTAATGAACTACAAAATAAAAAATTCCTTTAAAAAAAAGATAATAAAATATTTTGTGTGCGTTTATCAGTTATGTCAAATTAAGCGGGTCATGCAGCCGCATGCAATTCGCAGTTCTAGATTCTGCGGTCCACTACGATTTTGAAAATTGTGAAATTTAATTCTAATAATTTTGTTACAAATATTGATTTAGATCAGTAAAAAGTGTTGAAACCAGAGTGAAGGTTTGTCACACATCCAAAAACCAAACTAATGCAAGTATATGGGAAAAATACTCAACTGTATGTAAAATGTAACCACGACCGAATTTTCACGAGAGTTTGTTTTGAGAAGTGGATAGCGAATGTTCTATAAATAAAATACTTATGTACATATATATTTGAACCAGTTTTCTTATATTTGTAAACAGTAGCCCAGTTAAGTAAATTCGAAATTTTCCGAATATTCTAATTGAAATAAATTACCATTAAAAACCGAATTTGAAAGATTTTTAGATTTTAATAGATGTCAAAATTAATTTAACCTATTCTTTTTCTATTTTGTGTTAAAATTGAAACATTTGATTCAAATTTACAATTGAAATGGAAATGCTGTACGAGTCTGTATTAAAACAAAAATTTAGAGAAGTGTAAATTACAAAATTTTATAATTATTTATTAATATTAATATTAATTATTTATTATTAAACAATTAAGCGTGCCTTAGCAAAGTTCGGAAGCACATAATTGTGAGAACATTTGTTTTCGATATTAAATAATAATAAAACGGCTGAAAAATCAAGATTAACAGATCAACATGTTCAATCAATATTTAAAATATTAAAAATTACAATTGTCTATAAATTCAACCAAATTGAAATCAACTAAATCGAAGATTTAGTAACAGAAAAAACATTGCTAATTTTTTTTTTAAAAGTGATTTTATATTTTTTTGGCATGACTGTATTATTTTTGTTTTATATTTTTTTATGTTGATAATAAAAATCAAAATTTGAGTATAATTTAGTAGTTTAAGTTTTTTTATTGTGCAGCCCGAAGCAATGTGCGGAAACCATAAAATGGCCCGTGATGATGAGTTTGGCATACCTGGCGTACATTAATACAAAATAAATCACCGTAAATCACCGTAAACTAATAAGAAAAATGCACTACCCTGATTAGTATAAGGCCACTGCGTATGGAGAGCAGCTCTAATTTTCCTTTTTTGTTTTCCCCGTCCTTTTGGACCTGAATATACCCAAAAAGAATTAAATATAAATATATTTTGGACTCCAATTTTTTTTTTTGATATTATGCAAAAAAATTGCGAAAAAAGGAAATTTTCGTTCAAAATAAGTTTTCTTAAAAATATGAGCTCTGAATTTTATAGAAATTCAACCGATACAGCTTTTTTCCTTGCTATTTAAAAGAGTACTGAGTTAAAAGACGAAAACAAATTCAAAATAAAATTTAAATTGAAAAATTTTCTTAGGCAAATTCACGAAATTCTAAACATATTTTCCTTTGCTACAAAAGTCTACTAAAAACATTTGTATATTGAGCCTTATTCTAGTTGTCGCGTCACTTACGTGACATTTGTCGTTGTCCCTGCCACATCATTTGAAATGTGGTATTCTGGTTGTCGAGTGACGTGAGTGCGAGAAATAATCGAAAATGAAACGTTTCAAGTGAAATTGATACATTTTAAAAAGAAATTTCGGCGAGTAAAGTTCAAACAATAAAAATTTTCAGTGTATATATTTATATTTTTAAATAATAAAAAATGTCATTTGCATTATGGTTTACGAATTCATCTCATTCCGGTAGTGATGATTTTAAAAAAAAACAACAATTAAGGATCGAAAATTTAAGATTAGCGACAGCTCTAATCCATTGGATTTGCCAAATTTTCTAGTAAATTAGTTGCAAACATTTTATTTTATTCACAGATTTATAAACTACTACAGACTTCCAAAGGAGGTCTTTGAATATTTACTGAATATATTCGAGGGAAAAACATGTACCCGTAAAAGGCGTGCCCTGTCATGAAATTTCCAATTCTTCAAATTTATAAATACTTTCACGCTAAAAACAAAAATTAAATTATATATTTTATGACTTGATTTAAAATTAATTTTTTTATGATTTTGTTAAATTCTTTTGTTTTAACTATGTAGCATTTTTGGTGTATCCTTCTTTCTTGTCACTTGTAAATACTTTTCGACAAAAAACGTCGTTTCACTACGACATATCTCGCATCAGAACGACAACTGGAATATGGCTGAAACACATTTTCCCGCTATTCCCCGACGATTGTCACTTCGATCGCCGCTTAGAATATCAAATTCAAGTCGTAACGACTATTGTCGCTCTACTTCGACAACTATTCAATTAAGAACTACAAGAGAAAATCTCAATATGAGAGCTTTATAAAAATCTCAAAGGGAAAATCTCATATCTAATGCTGATAGAATTCTGCCATAATAAAATAATATTTCCAGATTTAAGAAGATCACCAAATCGAAAAAGAAATTTCCAACAAAAAAATTAAATTTTGATATCATAGAATGAGACCAAACAGAAGTTTTCCCCAATTCCTCTTAACATATTTTGTGAAGTAATTGAAAGTAATGTATTCCAAAGTACAAACTTGGACTTCCATTTGATAAACCAAATTTATTTATTAATAATAATTAAATGACATTTTTATTTTATGTGAAGACGACATTTTCTACTGCACTGATTTCTTTCATAATTATAAATGATGTCTTTGAAAATCTTTCTTAATCATGTTTTACATGAATATCATTTTTCATTCATTAATATAATTTTATCAATATATAAAAATTTCCATTATCTTTTTATAAAGATAAAATTCGTAAAAACTCAAAAATATGGTTTGTCTAATTGCTTCTAATGGACTTTTCCTCTTTTACACTGATATTAAAGAGTACACCATCCTGAAAGTAGAATAAAAAAAATTTAGCTTAAATATTTAACTCTTCTTTTAAAAATTTATTATTTCTTTACTAAAACAAAATAACTTTGAAATAATTTTTCGTTCTTCACCTAGTTATCAAAACTTTTTAAATCTAAACTTAAACTTTTTAAATTTATGGTAACAAAAAAAAAATCTGATGTGGTCAGCACATAACCGACCGCATTGTGTATTGTCTAGTTAAATGAAAGTGTTACAGAATATTATAAAAAGTCTGTTAAATACTTCTTTCCAATTTTTAGGACATTAGTAAGCTTACAGTTAACATACTTAGAAAAATGTAAATTTGGCTCTTAGTAGAGTTTCGCTTTGTGCTACCCGAATTCCCTGAAATGCTCGCCAGTTAGTTTCGGTAACAACCAGAACTCAAATATCAAATTTCAAGAAATTCCATCAATTTGTTCTATGGATATGGTGAAAAATGTAAAATCGGCCCGCAAATCAGTTTTCGAGCCCTGATCTTTCCAAAAAAGTTATATGTTCATTGCTTTAATATGAGGAATTCATATATTAAATTTCAATGAAATCGGTTGATTATTTCTCTTTATATACACAAAAATGTATATTTGGCCCGTAGTAAACGCCCAGTTGCTGATGCCTGATTTCTTCCAAAATTTAGGAATTTTTGCGTATGATCGAGCAAAGCTTATATATGAAATTTCAAGTAAATCGGTTGAATACTTTCTTCAAAATGGTGAAAAATGTAAAATCGGCCCGCAAATCCGTTTTCGAGCCCTGATCTTTCCAAAAAAATTTATATGTTCATTGTCTTAATACGAGGAGTTCATATATTAAATTTCAATTAAATCGGTTGATTATTTCTCTTTATATACACAAAAATGTATATTTGGCCCGTAGTAAACGTCTAGTTGCCGATGCCTGATTTCTTCCAAAACATACGAATTTTTGCGGACGGTCGAGCTGAGCTTATATATAAAATTTCAAGTAAATCGGTTAAAAATTTTCTTCAAAATGTTCAAAAATGTAAAACAGGCCCGCTAAAAATTGCAGTTCCCGAGGCCTGATATATACCAAAAGTTGATCGATCCGTGCCATGGTGGAAACAAACTTACATATAAAATTTCATCAAAATCGGTTCAGCCGAACTTGAGATACACGCGTGCACACACAGACCGACAGACCGACAGGTTACTAAAAATAGTTTATTTAGACTTCCCTACTATGGAGAAGTACGTTCCCACCGAAAACTCGATATGCAAAATTTGTTGCCATCACATAACCTACCTATTGTTTACACAATACGGTCGGTAAAAATTATTAAAAAGTTTGAAGATTGAAACGAAACCGTAAAATTTTTGCTTTAAATGCCAATCGTGTTCTACAATCCAAAATACAACATGAAAAAAATATATACATATGTAGATATACATAATTGAAAAAAAGTTTTCAATACTACGGTCATTTCAACATAACTTTTACTAGTTCACTAATGGCAAGATTTACTTTTTTCTTCATTCTTAAAACTTAAGCATTCTGTGATGTAGCACACAATGACTTAAAAGCTGTGTAAGAGCTCAACGAGCTTAACTGTTCTATTGTTCTATAAATTATGTATAGTAAAAATACTTTGAACTCAAAATTATATTGCTGCATATTCAGAAATAATTAATGAAATCCAAAACAAATAAAATTGAACAATATACTAAATAACGTATGGCTACAGGCAATACAAATTAAAACAAACGAGAACTGATCAAATATAAATAAAATGCCAATAAAGTCCAATCTTTCAATTTTCTTATTTAGTTAGATTTTTAATTTGGTCACTTTTATTTGTATTTGTATTGCATTTTATTTATATTTGATCAGTTGCCTATAGCCATACGTTATTTAGTATACTGTTCAATTTTATTTTTATTGGATTTCATTTATACTTCTTGTCTCGTTTTATACAATACTTTTATTTGCATTGTATATTATATTGGTAAGGCAACCGATGCCGTCACTTTTATTTATTTAGAATAAATTTCATTTACTTCATCTCTCATTCGTTTTTATTTGTATTGGATTTAGTATATCGTTCAATTTTACTTGTATTTATAATAGCAAATGATTCGGTCACTTTTGTGTGTATAGAATTTCATTTATTTTACTTCTCATTTGCTTTTATTAATATTCCATACAGGAGTATATCGTACGTTTTTATTGGTATTGGATTTAATATATCATTCAAATTTACTTGTATTATATTTATATTGGCAACTGATTCGGTGACTTTTGTGTGTAGCATACCATTTATTTTACTTCTCATTTGCTTTTATCAATATTGCATATAAGAGTATATCCTTCGTTTTTATGAGTATTGGTTTTAGTATGTCGTTCAATTTTACTTGTATTGTATTTATATTAGCAACTGATTCGGACACTTTCATTTGTATAAAATTTCATTTATTTTACTTTTCATTTGCTTTTATCAATATTCCATATCAAATTGGAAGCTCCCTGTATGAAATAAAAATAAGGAAGCCTTGAACTGGGCTAATGGATAAATATAAGACCATATGTCTTATATTTATCCATAAAAAATTTAAAAACGGATAAAAATTATTATCGCTTTTTTATTTTAAGTAAAAAAAAAAACTAAAAAAAATTAATTATAATTAATTTATTTTACGTTTTAATAAGTTAACTTATAATTAAAAAATAATTATAAGTTGACATTATAAAGAATTAGGGATTGAAGTAAAATATTAAAGTAGGGTAGGATTTCAGTTTCTTTCGAGTATTAAAAATAAAGATAGTTACAAATATTTATATTCTATAAATTTCTTGTGAGGAATATTAAATTTAAACTCAAATGGTTTAAAATCTTGTTTCCTCAAATTTAAGAAATTACTTATAATTTAATAAATTTTAAGTAAGTTTCAAATTTTTCTCTACGTTTTAAACTTTTTGGTTTATATAAGTAGAGACATTTTGTGGTTCAAAACCCATTACATATTCTTTTCAAAATTAACCATAAATACGAATAGGCATATAATTATGGCTACATGCAATTATATATACAAAAGGGCAGTGAACGAAATGAACGATTGAACGAAATTTTATAATCGGTCAGTGAAAAAAAGTAGTTCGTTCAGAACGAATCACTGAAATGAAGAATATTGCCCATGAATGCATGAAAATGACAGCAGTGACACCAACAGGCTAAATTAGAACCCGTCAAACAAGAGAAGTAATTGATGATAGCCTTGTTAAAATACAACAGAAATCTGAAAAAAGGAAATTACCAATAAAACAACAATATAATACGAAAAAGGATGATTTATCTAAATGTTGTAACTGATGTGTTATAACAATACTAAACTCTGTTGTCAAGGGTTTAGTACTCATAGAACACTACAAAATTGAAAGCAAATTAGAAACAAATTTATAAAAGCAAAAAGCTGGCTGCAGAAGTAAACGATTTTGTCGACCAATTAAACATAATATAATTATAAAACAATAAGTTGAATGGAACTGGAAGCTCCATATCATCTGAGAGGGTCTTCAATACGATAGACCGAAATGCTCTATGACGTTTCTTAAGAAATAAAGGAATTGCTCTAATAATAATAAGCATAACAATGACTTTATATGAGATACTGTTTAGAAATAAACTAACGAACACTAATAAATTTTTTTTTTCATTAAGTGATATTGCAACTAAGAAAATAATTCCTAAATAGCAAATTTTTTGTCACAATATGAGGGTTATGGGTGTATCATCCACTGATGAATTCTCTGTACATTGTATTTGTCTAGCCGATGAGTTCAAGTGGTCTGACCTTTTTTAGTCATCTATGTACTCGATCAACAACCAAAAGTTGCAGTATCTCGGGGTTGTTATGTCATGCTGGCGTAATCTTGATTGATGATTGATTGCATACTTCTTTATTTCATCTTTGACTGTCGGCACGTTTAGATCTCGATATAGAGTATCATTACTTACGTACTATGCTGCATTTACAATGACTCGGAGGACCTTGTTTTGGAAAGTTTGGATAATTTTGAAATTGGATTCTCTGATGCAGCCCTACAGCTGTATACCGTAAGTCTAAACAGGCTTAACAACCTGATTGTAGAGCAGTAGTTTGTTTTGTGTATTAAGCTCAGAATGTCTTCCAAGAATCCAATACATGTTTCTCAATTTAATGTTCAGCTCAGTTTTTTTTTTAACATGCTCTTTCCACTTTAATTTAGTATCCAGTGTCATACCAAGGTATGGACTGGCTTCGTTGGCGTACGAAATTGTTGCCCCATTAAGTATGACACCAATTGGATCGCCCCTCCTGTTGGTGTAGTTTACGTGTACTGATTTAGCTTCGTTGAGTTTGAACCTTCCTTTTTCCGTCCAAGTAGACACTTCTTTCAATAAGACTTGCAATTTATTCGCAGCTTCTTCAACAGTTTTACCGGTTTCATTTTCATTCCCTGGACACACCAGCCCTTAAATTTTTAAAGATGAGGTCCTCTTCCTCAAATTTTACGCTGAATATTCTGTCAGACAGGCAGGACTAATATTTTTGAAAATAAGCCCGGCAGAAACTCCTTTATTTTGAAGTTGAGGCCCTCGTGACAAACCCTGGTGAACGCCTGGGTCACGTCTAAGACAGTTGAGCAATATTCTTTGTTTTTAAGCGCATTTTCAATGAAGTTCGTTAGCCTGTGTAATTGGTCGATAGTGAAATGCCTAGACCGAAACCCAAATTGACGGCCGTGGATGAGACCTCTATTTTCTATTATTGGTTTTAGGCGATTCAATAAAACTCTTTCAAGCAGCTTCGACAACACCGGTAGGAGTGATATAGGTCTATACGACTCCATCTCATTGCCAGGTTTTCCAGGCTTGGGTACCATGATTATTTCTGCGACTTTCCACTAAGTTGGGACATGATTAAGCCTCAGCGACGCATTAAATAGAAAAAGCAGCTTTTTTACAGCAATTTCTGGCAGCCTTTT